TCATCTACAAGTATTTAAACTATATATGTAAAATGTAAAACATATTTTCAACGAGACTCTGTAATTTAATCTTGAAACAAATTTTCTAGTTTAGTTAGGAAAGTTAGTTTCGTTTAGAGATTGGTTGTTCCCAATTTTTGGAATTTAACAAGAGTTAACAGTGTTTTATCACTGAAACAGTCGTAGAAATCGGAGAAAGTTAATTTTTCAATTTCTCGAGTTAATTTGAACACACCGAAAATACATATGCAAAATGTAAAATATATTTCCAAGGGAGAATCTGCAATTTAATTTCGACGAACAGATGTAGGAAATATTTCGTGCAAAGCAGTAAATTTCCAGTTTAGCTAGTTTCCAGCCCAGTTTAGAAATGCCTCGCGTTTCTCCCAATTTCTGGCATTATTTTAATAAGAAACGGAACAAGAAATCGGAAAAAAGCTATGTACTTACTTTTTTCTTTTTTTCAAATTATCACATTAAGGAAAATTATAAGCCAAAATCGAGAAAGGCTAAATTTATCATTGAAAAGTTTTCAATGTTTCGCTCTTTGCGAAAAAACCAAAAAAAACGTTGATGGATCGTCGTGAAAGAGTGAATTGTTAATCTTCACGCGATGAACTCGAAGGTCTCTCCCCCTCCTCCTGTCACAGAATCGTCAGCCTTGAATTTTCCGAAAACGAACAGCAAGACGACAGGCCAACTCGCGACTTTGGAAACTGTCGGAGAAACTTGCCGAGCAGTGGTATCTCCTTGCCAGGACCTAATTCTAACTTGTTGTGTCATGTTGTTTGCCTGCTGGTGTATTTACGGGGATAGTTTCGGGTATTTTGCGGTCGTTGCAGAGGTACGAGGGATTGGACGAGGCGAATGAAGTCGGGACTAATTCAGAAGGGAGGGAATTACAAATTCTCGGTGACTTTGCCAGATGAAACGTTGTACGTACATTGGCTTATCCGAATGATCTGACAATTAAAACTGAATTCGAGATTTTTGCTTGAGGAACTGACGAGATTAGTTTCGATCGGGTAATTTGTGAGAAGAGAATCTCACGTTTTACGAATGTAACGAAGAAACGCTTGCGTGTTAAATTGAAGGTTCGTTGAACTTTCTGTGAAAAATTGTCGATATTGTTCAATGTTAATTAATAATGGTATTAATATTATTTAATTCGCCATTTTGAACGATGCGACAAATACTCGAAGAAACGTCACCGAAATTTTGTCACTCTTGCGGAGCAAACATTTTGTTCAGATAGTAATAACTGGTGAAATTCTTCGTGAAAATCGAGTTTAAAAACTTGGATTGGACGGTAGAGTAGATATGAATCATTGTAATATTCAAAAACGTCAGATTAACTATATATGCTAAAAAAAAAACCAATGACAGGGCCATTATTAATAATTAAGCAGACATAGATGCACGAAATCATAGAAAATTAATCCTACGTAAAACGGCGAGTTCGTTTTATTTTCTCTGTTGAAACACGCTGACAAAACGACTGCGTGAAACAACGAGCACGATCGTAGGAAATTAATCAAATATAAAACGTCGAGTTCCTCTTGTTAAACGTCGTTTCCACGAAAAACCTCGCTATAATGAAAATGATAATCGCGCCATTACGTATGATTCTACGTCTGCGGTTTGTAATACGTTTTTAATTCCTTTGTTTTCCTGTTTGTCGAGAGTTGCATCTAAGCAACATAGACTATTCGGACGAAGCCTCGCGCAATCGCAAAAACCTTGACACCTATCGACAAAATCTTTTGGAATCGCGGCCACACCATTCGCGAAGAATATTTATCTGAAAGCGCAGTGAACGTTATTTCCACGACAGAGTTTCCTGCGTATTCGTTTCGTCGAACATTGTGTTCTTGCTGCGTAAGCGCGATTCTGTTGAAACTCCTCGACAAATTTGTACGTACGTGGACACGAACGTTAACTCCGAGAATTATTTCTTTTAATAGAGGCGTACGTTTCTTGACAGGTAATGTAATGGGAAGAGATAATATTGTAGTTTGCTTCGTGATCTTGAGGCCGTAATGAAATCGTCAAACCAGTTTTACGACTGATGGAATATCGTGAAAAAAACGTGCAAAGTAAATGATTTTCTGTTTCCTCAAGTAAATTATTTTTTGTGTCCTTACTGAGGTTCAGTAATTATATTTGACAATTACTTGTTTCTGTCCTTGAACGCCGATATCGAGGAATATACTTGTATTTTGTGTTTCACTATTTTTATAACATTGCGCGCATCCGTCACATCTATTTTTCGAAAGATAACTTTAGAAATGAATTCTGTACTATATACTATGTACTTCAATGCAGGGAATTTCTTTTTCCACTTGAGACGCGAATTTTCATATTCTCTATCCCTCTATTTCGCGAGTAATTCTATTTCCCATTACGTTCGCTGCGCGTGCAACAAGAATTGAAATAATTTTGCCTCAGAAGCACAAGTAATATTCACGATATTACGTTGAAAGTAATATCAAAGTAGACACGAAATTCTCACATCTGCCGCCTCCTTTGTGAACAACTCGGCTTATTTCATTTTTAGTACGTACACAATGAAGATTGAAGTTTCTAACCGTTTTAAAATATTCCTCCTTGACGGAGGGAAGATCCAAATATACAAACTTGCTACAAAGTGGAAAAATTCAACCAAGTACGAATCGTTGACATCGTCGTTTCGTGCGTCACAAAAAGTCACAACCTAATCACGACCTACAACCAGCGAGAAAGATTCGAAGATACTGAATTTCTTTACAATTTTTTACAAAAATTTTTGCTTGAATATATAGTTTTCATAAACAAATATTCAAGAATATTTATTAACATTTTATTTGAGAAAAGGTTTTTCTTGCAAAATTAAGAAAAAATACTGATTTCATCAATTTACACAGAAAACGGTATCATCAATTTTCACCCTTCAACGTCGACGATTGCCGACAAAATATATATAAATTTTTAAGTATTTCGAATATTTTGTTGAAAACTACATTTATGCCAAATTTCATCGAAATCAGTGATTCGGTATGTTCTAATAGACTAGCCTCTGCAATCTCTTCTCAAGCCAAAATCTTTGCTCCAAAAAGAGAATGGAAAAGTTGCTGGAAAAGTTATTTCGATATATTTCCCCAAACGTCTGTCTTATCTAATCGGAAATGCGCTTTGACACGTCGCAATCAGCAGTCGCCGCGTCAACTCTGACATTAGGCGAGGAACACGTGCGGATCGAGTCGCGTGACGTCGC